GGAAAAAATTTTTGAAAGGCTTCCTTCATCTTGAACTTCACCTGAAAGTTTACTGCTTTGAAAGGTCAGTAAAGACCAGACATGCTTTCCAGTTTGAATGTTTGTACTTAGTAAACAGTGAGCTCAGACAGTCGTGCCCACAGATCTGCTGTGCGTGTGTGTTTGTATGCAAACGTTAAACAGCTTTTATTTGTTTGTTTTTAAATAGGTTGATTATTAAGAAATAATCCTTATTTTTATATTTGCTTTTTAAGAATAGAATTGTTCCTGAGTCAGAAATAGGAGGCCGGTGATAGTATGAAAATAAATGCAGCAGAGCAGACAACATGTATAATAGTGTTTGGGGGTGGGGGTGGGGGCTAGTTAAGTTTACTTATTTATTTTTTACAGGAGGTACTGGGGATTGAACCTAGGACCTCATGCATGCTAAGCATGTGCTCTACCACTTGAGCTACACCCTCCCCCTGTGCAATACTGGTTTTGGAAAGAAGTTCACAATTCATTTGCATTGTCTACCTCCAATTATCATTGTTAATCATGTGTAATAATTAGCATTCTAGGATCTTCCTCAATGAATTTGATTTTACATCTTTCTCCTCCTATTTGGATCTGATCTTACCAAATAAAGTGTTGAGTGGTACCTCCTACTCCAAATTAGAGAAATGTCCAGGGGGAGGAGATGAGGGATTCCATTATACCACTGCCTAGAGTACATGTAGAATAAAATGCCACTGTATCCTCCAGGGAACACAGGTTGCTGATTGTTCATCCTGTCCCTTTTAGAATGAGACTTGCCTTTGCCTCTCTTAGGTGTGCTTAGCTTTTGTCATCTTCTTGCAGTGTGTGTGTGTGTTTCTGTCTTTACTGTTGGCATCATTTGCCAACTGCAGCTCATCTGCCACTTTGAACCTGTCTGGGCCTAGAAACAAAGCCCTTTAGTCCAAGGATCGGCATCAAAATTTCATACCAAGTGTGAATAGTTTGATGATGCGTTTGCTGAAGCTTTGTACCAGGGCTCAAGGTGAAGTGAAGTGGCTGCCATGTTTGTACCCTGGTGTTAAAGGGAACTGGTGGGAAGACAAAGCACCCTGCTGGGAGAACCCTGGTCAGGCCAGCTCTGTTGGTATCGATGTGGTCGGTCTCCACTTCCCTCCAGGCTTGTTTTCTCACCTGCACGGTGAAGAAGCTGAGCTGGATGAATTATCTGTAAGGACTCTTCCTTCAGGTCCAACATTTCTAGTTTTTATAGAGTCTGATAAGAAAAAGAGGGTACAAGTGAGCCTAAAGAGAGTGTATGGGCTTAACCTCTAAGATGCCTGCTAATTTCTTTATTACAAATAGATGCATTTGTCTTATGATTGAGTTTAGAGCAGATATTTCCCTGACACTTCAGTGTAAAATGATGTTGATTAAAAAAAACCACGAGGAGCTGATTATTTAAAGTAATTCTGTGCTATAGAAGCTCTTATCTAACCTACATTTCTGCTTGCAAGCAGCTCTAGCTTACTCCTTGGGCAAGCCCCTTAGTCTCTCTACTCGTCACTTTCCCAGTTTAAATTGAACAACTCTTCTCTTAAATTATTGTTATTTCTTTCAGGGGAGGGAGGTAATTAGGTTTTATTTACTTGTTTATTTGTTTATTTACTTACTTACTTATGTTTAGTGGAGGTACTGGGGATTGAACCCAGGACCTTGTGCATGCTAGGTATGTGCTCTACCACTGAGCTATACACCGTGCCCCTCACCAATTTTTTAATTTAATGATACGGTTCTATAGAATAGTTTATTTATTGTGTTGGAAAAATTAGGATTGTTTTAAGAGAAGTGATATCATATTAAAAATATATTTCCAAAGCACTTTTACCGTCTTAAATGTCTGAATGACTTAAACAAGTAGCTGTTCTGTTTTATTTTAAGACCTGGGAGAAGGAGATCAGTGATCTTTAATTAGTGAGCCAAGAATAAATGTAATGAGAGTGATCTCACTGGAATAAGGTGGTCTTGCTTCTTTTGAAATTTTAAACTAAACACAGTAGGTGCAACTGGAAGTAGCCAGTGGGAACGGAAGATTCAGGAGCTGCCAGTGGCAAAGGGGGAAGCACTGCAAGATGGCAGAGCCCGGAACCCCGAACGGCCTGCCTGGTGGCTTCAAGGGCAGGAAAAGGAAATTCTCATTCTTAAAAGGATAAAATGTGGACATTCTTAGAAATCCATGTTCTTTGCAGAATTCCAGTGGGCATATTTTACTCTACATGTATTCTAGGTAGTGATGTAGCAGAATCCCCAACATCACAGCCGGACAGTTCCCTGAACTGGTATAGGTGATTCCACTTGAAACACTAAATGCTAAGAAATGAGGCAAGTCTGTCATCTGTCTAGCTGGGATGGCTGAAATTGTGGATATATTGTGTGCGTTTGGTAAAGATGAGTGTGTTCTTGTGATTTCTCTGTAGACTTAGACCTACGACTAAATCCATCTATTGGTCTTAGATCTCAAAGAATGTGTCAGGAATTATCCATCGAATTTAAAAGTGGAAAGGAGACATGTTTTTGTAATCCATCTTTTATCCAAAATGGGAAAAATCTTTGCTGTTGTGAGCTTTAAAAATAAGTGCTCACAGTTGCCTTTTCCTTTTACAAATACATAGGTTTGTAATCCTCTCTTGGGTGTTTGGTATTTTTATAAACTTTGTAATTAGAAGTGATTATTAATGGATGCATTGTACTATTTTGAACTGTTCTCCTCAAGAACATTTACCTTGATGTTAGCTACAACATTGTCAAAACTTTTAGGAAATTTGGCATAACACTGTTACTTAATATGCTGTCCATATTTCAGTTTCCTTAGTTAGCCCAATAATGTTCCATGTAGCTGTGTGTTTTCAGTCAAGAATCCAGTCAGGAGTCACACAGTTCACTTAGCTGGGATGTCTCTTTAGTCTCCTTTTTTATCTTTACCCACGCTCCATCTCCCCAACCCCTTTGTTTTCTTCTATGTGGCATTGAAAAACCCTGGTTAGGGGCTTTGTAGAATGTACCTTTATTTGGATTTGACCGACTGCCTGCACACGATTAGGCTCAGGTCATACCTTTTTTGGGGGGCAGGAATACCTTCTCAGTGTGTCACATTGGGAAGCAAGTTGATGTCAGTGTGCCTCATTATTGGTCACGTTAAGCTTGATCATATAAAGGCAATGTCTGAGTTCTTGATTGTAAAGATACCTGTCCTTTTTGTGGTCAAGGAAAAGTAATGAGCGGTACTTCGAGACTGTGTATCTTGTTCCCAACAGTCTTTTACCCTGAGCTTAATATCCAAATTGCTGACATTTGCTCAAATCATATATTTTATGTCTTCCATTACATTTATTAGTTGGCAATTTTCTATAATGTACAGTTTTCTCTATTTTGTGCTTTAATGAATCAGAATCTCAGTGGGAGCATTTGAAAGCTCAGAAACTTGTGGTTTTGTAAGGTGATCGGGAGCTTTTTGTTACCCATTCATTGTCAAGAACTACTGTTCTGCAAGTAACGTTTACTGTTCTGTGGGGACTAAAATATTGTTTTAAAAAAATCTTCTGTCAAAGCTGTTGCATAGGAGACAATATTTGGGATAACCGTAAATATCCACCACTCACGTTATGTCCCTTTTTCTAGCTTGTTCAGTGCTAAAGTGTGGTGAAAAAACTCACCCCTTTTTCTTCAGACCACCTGTCATTTAAACCCATAGGTAAATATCAGGCCAAAAGCGTCTGTGGGGTGCTGCCATATGCCAGTTTTCATGCTTCTAAATATATTTTGGCATGTTATCTGTGTCAGGATTAGCTCTGGCTGTGTGTTACAGTTTAAAAAAAAAAGTTTAAATGAGTTTTCCATTTTCATGAAAAGAGTTGAAGGGTAGACAGTCCAAGGCTGGTAGTAGTCCTGCCCTGTCATCTAGGACTAGTGCTCCTCCTGGCTTAGCATGCCGTCTCCTGGCCCACGATGACTGCTCATGCTCCAGCCATTGGGTCTGTTTCCAGCCAGCAGGAAGGATGAAGAATCAAACATTAGCAGCCACTTCATATAAGGATACTGCCTGAGGACAGCTTTTCACACTTCTGCTGGTGTTGTGTTTGCCAGAACATAACACCTGGTCATGTCCCAGCAAGAGAAGCTGGGAAGCAGTCTGTAATGGAATGGATAAAGAGATATTGGGGACAGCTATTTGACTCTGCCCTACTGAATTTAGCAATATTACCTGTCAGAGGAATCTCTGGGTGGGAGGAGCCTGGGAGGGAGGAGGTAAGCTATTAAGTCCTCCAAAACAAAACAAAGAAAAATGAATGAATTCTAGAGGAGAAAATTCCACTCCTCCAGATTATTTTCATCTAAATAAAGGGAAAACACAGTTTTCAGAGAATTGTATTGTGTCTCTGGATACCAGTTAAAGTAAATTTTACTTCCAAATGGCTGTCAGGTAATTTTCCAGTTTAATGTTTCAGGAAACAACTCTTCAGCATGTTTTATTTCAGTACATAACTTGCAGGGGGCTGGGGGAGGGGGTGGATTTCTAAGTTGGAATAGCTTTGCCTTCATTATCTATTTTTGGACTTTGTTCTTTTTCTAAATCCATATCACTAATACTATTAAGTGGTCACAACTTTTTGAAATTCAGATAAACCAACTATTATTTTTTTAAAGGCAGTAATTAAATTTACCAAAGCTTTACTAACAATTTCCTTTATTCCCTTTGGCTTCACTTTTCCTGCTGAAGAACCGAGTATTGTAGGTGTTCAGTTACAGTTAGTCATACTTCATTTCACTGTGCTTCCTTTTATTGCACTTGTAGATATTTTGTTTTTTATTTTTGTTTTTTTAAAAAATTAGTTTGCAGCACCCTGCACTGAGCAAATCTATAGGGGCCAGTTTTCCAACAGCATTATTTTTGATTAGGTATGTACCTGTTTTTCAGACATAATGCTATTGCACCCTTAAAGACTACAGTATAGTATAAACATAACATATGCACTGGGAAACAAAAAAATTCACGTGACTTACTTTGTTGTGATACATGGTTTAATGCTGTGGTCTGGAACCGAACTTGCAATGTCTCTGAGGTGTGCCTGTGTCTAAAAACTGGGGTAGAGAATTAAAGGCAGGCAGGCGTTTGCTCTCAACACTTGACGATGCTCCTGCACTGCATCTGCTGCTGCTGCTGAGAAGCTTACTGTTCCACAGAAGCTCCCACGGAGAAGTCCGATACTAAGATAGTCTATCGCTGATGCCCTGTTAGGTGAGCAGTGAATCTGCTTTTACTTGAAATGTAAACTGCCTGGCAAGGAGTAGGTTTGGATGACTAAGTGGTTCAAAGACTCTGACTCTATTTTTATGTACTGCTTCCTCTTTTAGACTTGTTTCATTTTTCTACTTATGTTTTCCCTCTTCTGCTTTGTAACATGAAAGTAGAATTGATGCATCTTGTCTTGGGATAAATCCCTTGCCTCTGTTGCATTCCCTCCCCCTAAATCATACCCTTCTTCCTGGAACCTGCCAGGTTGATTTTTCCAATAGAGCCAGAGTCGGTTCTTCCAACAGACAAAAAGTCTCTAGTTCCTGCCTAGCAGCTGGCTCATGCAGTACTTAATTGGCAAACTTTGAGTTTATAAATGACAGGAAATGCTCCTTTCAGAAATGCTTGAACAGTAGGGAAGAGGCAATTGGCAGCTAGCGAGCAGAGCAGGAGCTGGAGCTGGCATAGCACACGACGGCACCCGTAGCTGGGCGCTCTTGGCAGCCTGCGTCTGGGTTGGCAGAAGTTAGCCTTAGAGCCGTTGTCTTCATCATTTTGATAGCGTCTTTGGAGGCTGCACAAAAGTCTCCAGAACAGTGTAATCTGAAAATTGCTAGCTTTCTGCTTATGGAAGAGGCGAGAAAGGTGAACACATTCATAGGTCTTACCTAGTTTGAGGTGCTCTTTAAGAAACAAAATATTTTGATTTGTTAGATCAGATGGCTCTGATGGGGTCTCTTAGTCCTGCTCCTTGGAATTTCTTACTGGGGGTGCACTTCTTTTGTCAGTAAACAGTTTCAAAGTAAGTAACTCATTGAATACATTTATTATCTCTAAGAGGCCTTAGCTACCTAGTTATTGGGGAGAAACTTTTTTGCCTTTCTTTTTTTTTTTTAAAGACTTCAGCATTCTGTTCAGGTCATGAAGTTGAGTACACTCAATTTCAGTTCCAGACCAAAATCCATTAAAACAAAAGAAAACAAACAAAACAAAAAACGCCAGGAGTATCTGTTTTATAAGGCAAAGGGAGACATTGGCATTCTTCCAGGTTCCCGGAGGCTGGGCTCATTGGCTGGCATGCGTGTTTCCATGCCTTTGTGATGTCTTAGATTCTGTTCCCCACAAAGTAAATACACTTAACCTTACTGTTTGCTCATTCTTGTATCTCCTCATCATAGACGATTAGGAATTACTCATTGGCAGGCTTCGCTAGTTATGCAAACTCTCAGTTGAGCAGCTTTGTTCTTCTGTTATTTCAAGCTATAGCATAGGGCTTGCCAAGAAGGCCAAAGGAAGTTTTGCCGATAGGCATCTGGCAGAAAGCCATTGGGAAGCAGCTTGTGTCCTGAATATCCTTCACCTCTGAAGGTTTAGGAAGAAGGGTTCAGGATAACACAGCTGAACGTTAACTTAAATGCAAAGCATGCGTGTGGAGAAAGAGTTGAGTTTTTTCAAGCTCATTTCAGAGACTTAAATTCATAGGTGAAAGAGGTTTATCATAGCCCATTGTTCTGGCTTCTTAGTTTTATAAGTAAAAATTATCTGCTTATCTGGGTGTCCATCCCAATCCTAGAAACATGGCTCACTGTACAGAATCCCATATAAGAACAGGCCAGTTTAATGATTGTCAAGTAGACAGGATGTTTATGTGAAATGACTTATATTCCCAGAGGAAATTTTCCTTGAAAACTAATTTATGGCCAGGGATAGGCTTGCTGGACGTGGAACTGGAACAAAGGGAACTGGGTGGGTGTTCAGAAGCATCTTCATCAGGCTTCAAGACATCTGATGAGTCGGCTTTTCATGAGGGGCTACTGCCAAGAGCACACAGCACTGCCCACCAGTCTAGGCCCACTCCTTGTGTGCTTGGTTTGCTTCTAACACTGCCCTTAGATTTCTGGGGCTCCTGTTTTCATCCCAAGTTAGCACACTTGTCTGCATACTGATTCTTCATGTCTTTGCCCTTTCTTTCTATTATATTTTGGTCCATTTAGCCTTTCTCTCCTGATCACCATTCCTTTTCCAAAGCTCTATACAACTTTTAAATGTATTCTTAATCTGCCTATTGGATTTGTTACCTCCTACCCACCCCCACCTCCCAAAAATCAATGGGGAAAAAAAACCATCTGTAGCCTTTCATCACTGTGTCAGAAAAATAATTTTGCTTTTGTTCAGTTTTTGAGGCTGTAACAGTTTCTGCCCATCAGCTTTTCTCATAGCATTGGCCTTCAGTATCTTCCAGGCTAAGACACGTGCTCCAGGACCTCTGCTCTAAGGATGACAACTGTTACATTAGGCCTCTGAGGATATTCAGAAGTTGCTCTCTGGGGTCAGTCTCTGCAAAAGTAGTTTTTACTAAGTGAACAAGTAGTTTTTCTCTTATGGACATGGTAAATCATGCAACTAATTCATTTTTTTCTTTAATTAGCAGCTAGAAAGCTTAGAGCCAAATTTGTATGGTAACAGCATTTCTGATTTTATCTTATCTGTTGAGGTCCCTATGTTCTTATTTCTTCACTTCCTTTGTCTTACCTTTCTAAATTTTGTGTATTTTGTAAGCAGCATAAAATCTTTCTGGAACAAGGCCCAGAAAGCAAATAATTATACAGTCATGGCAAAGTACAATGGGGCAGATCTGGGCAAGTTACACATTAGATTTAGTCTGATCATTAGGAAAGTCTTTATCCCCACCAGACCTCCTCCTGCCACTGCTTTAAAAAAATATATATATATTATTCAGAAGAATGTTATATGGATGTTCTCAGTTAGATAAAATATTTAGATCCTATCTTTACAAAAAACCTGGTTAAGATTAACCTAACGGTTTTAATAGAAGAACCAGAATGACAAAATAAATGGATACTAACGTTGAGCACAGTTTATGGTCACTGTCAGCATTAATTCACTTAGTCTGTGCAGCTATTAAAATAAGAAAGGCTTTAAAGTGTCCCTCTGGAATAAATGGTATATGGTAAGTGCATAAGACCCTGGCAGGCTGTGAGGTACGGGGCTTTCCAGAAAGAAGCACTGTTCTTATGACTGAGAAGTACTGAAGAATGAAATTATTTTGTTGTGGTGTTCTTCCCTGATGCATAACAACAAAGGTTGACTTGGGTAAGCTGTGCAGGACAGGCACCTCTGACAGATCTCCACGGTCAGGAGTTCAGTGGGAAGGCAAAGCCCCTTCTGGTGTGTGTGTACTGAGGCTTACAGAGCCACGGGGGAGACTCCTCAGGCTGACAACTGTATTAAGACCTACAGTGTGTTACGACGCTCTGGGAAACATAGGAAATACCAAAGAGATACCAAGTTGTAAAGCATATAGTATGTACGTCTATACAGATGGTAATGAAACAGAATCTAATGATCAGAGAAAAATCCAATGGTTTTTGTCAAGAATATTTTCTGGAGTTGAATTTTAGGCTAAGTTGTATAGGAGGCAAGGAAGTGCATGGTGGTGGGTTACAAATAAAGGAAAGAGACTCAGAAGAGCAGGGTTCAGGTATTTTTATTTGTAGAAAATGAGGCACGGGGTCTAGAATCCCACATTGCTTTGTTTTTTTAAGTGAAGGGTATGTTTCGAACCAAAATGATTTCCCCCTGTCTTTAACACATTTATTGACTGTACAATAAATTTATTAGCATGAGAATTTGGAAATAACAATTTTAAACGTTCATGCTCTGATCCAGCATTTTCATTACATAAAATCTTATAAGTCTGAGGGTACAAGATTTATGTTTAAAGATTTGATTGCAGTGTTACATAAACTAGTGAAAAATTGGAAACCACACTTTTTAAAAGCTCTTTAAAATAGCATTCTTAGATATAGCAAAATAATAGTAAGGGGAAGATAAAGATTGTGGGGTTTGTTTTGGACAACTCTGTGATGTAGTTATTCTATTCTCATAGTAGAAACAAACATTGAAACGCTTAAGTTTCAGTTACAAAGCATCTTACACATGCATAGGATGGGTGTGTGCAGATGAGACAACAAACCTCTTTCTGTTCCTTGTTCAAGTAAAGTTTCATATATACGTATATATGTTGGTAATTCAATTAAAGTAATCTTTTTGGGGGTAAAATTTTAAATTGAGTTATAATTGACATAATTTTCAGGTGTACAACATAATGATTCAATATCTGTATATACTGCAAAATGATTACCACAGTAAGTCTAGTTATTAACATCCGTCACCACACAGAGTTACAGAAGTGTTTTTCTTGTAATGAGAACTTGTAAGATCTACTCTTAGCAACTTTAAGATATGCACTAGAGTGTGAACTGTAGTCACCATGCTGTACATTGCATCCCCAGGACTTACTTATCTTGTAACTGAAAGTTTGTACCTTCTGCCCCTCTCTACGTCATTCTTAATCTGCAGTTACCCCTATTCTTGCAAAATCAAGAAAAAATTTAATGGCCTGTCTCTAATGCCCCTTTTAGCACATTAATGATCAAAAGCTTAAGCTTTTGCCACCTACACATAACACATTTTTTTGACTCATAGGAAGTCATTTCAAAACAGATAGAAGAATGATACAACCAGGGAAGGCAGCACCTCCTTGAGAGTCCTATTTGGCATTTTTCTTTAGAGTCACTTCTGCAGCTCTATGGATATTTTAAAGCACATCCATACCCCTTGGAAGTGGGGTATATACTTTGTGTGTGTGAACATATTTTAGGAGATAGGGAAATCCAGGTTTGAATCTTGGCTCCAACATCAGTCAGTGTATGACCTTATGCAAGTGATTTAATCTCTGGTTCAGTTTTCTCATCTTTAAAATGGGAATGTTGTTAGTTTCTGTCAGTTGGATCAGTTGTGAGTTGTAAGTGCCCAGCACCTCACACAGAGGAACTCACAAAGCTTTATCACACAGGATTGCTATAGACACTTGCCCCCAATCGTAGTTCTCTTCCTCTTAAACCTGACTTTTTAGCTCAGCATGCTTTTTACCCATCTCTGACTACTTAAAAAACACAAAGGTG